TCTCCGGTTCTGTTCCTTCCTTGGACTACTTTTGATGGGTACTGACCTCTGCAGACCGGGACCAAATGTTTACTGTCTGCCTGATATATCCCCCCACTGACGGGGAGCCCTGATAATCAGATAATCAGTGTTGCTGGCAGAGCTCACTGTGTTAGGGCTGATCGCTGTGTATTATATATCTATATAAATATAACTAGAATACAAAGCCCTGATAGGACATATTTTCTGCAGTCGGTGTTTAACCTGAAATGTTTCTCAGTGTGGGAGTAGGAGCTCAGAGGAATGAAGGGAGGAGCTGGAATAACAGACGTTGTGTGTTTGAGCTTGCGCAACCGGTCGGTCAGAGAAACAGATCATTAAAGCAAACTTCTTCTTTGTACTGAGGTGTGTCGGGACGAATTCTTACCGCAGATCTTTTCAGCTCGCTGTGGAAACAGAGGTGTGTCTCTGAGGTTGAAGGTTTAAAGTCTTCTGCAGGTCGGACCACACCTCGCCTCACTGATAACCTGTCATACAGAGTGGGCGGGTTTATGGGGTCCTTACACATATTAAAGCTCCTGAAGGTGATCAGCTTTAAATATTGATACTTCTGATCGTTTCACCTTCCTGCAACATTAAAGGCTCCCTGCAGAGATTCTGACCACTAGTAGCAATGTGGAGCTGTTTTTTTATTTATAAGCTTCCTGTTCTCGTGCTCACACACACACTAGTGGCGGTTTTAAATACACCTGTGTTAGCTTGGTTCAACCTTACAGGCAGAGCGCCGCAATGGTCGAGAGAGCTCAGGAGTGAATGAAAAGAGATCGCTGCTACGATGATAAATTCTTCACAATAAAAGTCTCTGAATATTTTGCTACTTAAACGCTTTTATTATGAAGCAGCAAAACCAGGAAGTGTTTGGTTTTCAGACTGACAGGAGGAGAGTCTGCGGGCGGCGATATTAAACGTGTTAAAGGAAACGCAGCTTTCAAACTTTTAGAAAAACACTGAATGAAAACAAAACCTTTGTTTCAGGAGCTTCACAGCCGGGTAGATAAACTCATCAGCAAACTGTTTACTGAGATAATAAATCTCCATAAGACTCAATACTGTCAGAGTGGAGCTGCCCCCTGCTGGCCGGTAGAGGGACTGCAGGTTTACCTCAGGAGATGATTCTGTCCTCCACTGCTCCATCTTCCCTTCCTAACCTTGCTAACCCATTATACCCCGACTCTCTTCTTCTTCTCTTCCTCCTTTTATCACTCGCTCCATCCTTTTACGTTTTCCTCCTCTTCTTGAAATTTCTTTCACTTTTCTGTTTTAAACATTCATTTTACTCTCAGTGCTCCTCTCCAGTCCCCTCTCCTCCTCCTCCTCCCTCTCCCCCTCTTCCTCCACCGCTCCAATGCATCGCCACGTTAACCCTTCTCTCCCTCCTCCACCTCTCTCTCCCCCGTTCTCTCTGTCAGCGTGAGGAGGAAGAGGAAGAGGCGGAAGAGGAGGAGCTGATGCAGGAGAGGGCGAAGCGCTCGCGTAGGAGCGGCGTCCTCCGTCGCCCCGGAGATCGCTGGATGCTGCGCGGTCCCATCGAATACGTCCCCCCCGCCACCGTAGAGGTGATGCTGAGACGACAGGCGATCCCGCTGGACGAGAACGAGGGAATCTACGTCAGAGACATCAAAACTGGAAAGGTACGAGGCTTAGAGATATTAAACTAACATCTGAAGAGCTGTGTTGATTGGTGAAAGTGGGTGTGGCCTCCAGCATACGATCAACCTCGCTGCGTCTCTCTGCCTCTCAGGTGCGAGCGGTGATCGGTCACACCTACATGCTGACTCAGGACGAGGAGCTGTGGCAGAAGGAGCTTCCACGTAACGTCGAGGCTCTGCTGGCTTCTCGTCTGGACCCGCTGGCCGACCGCTCGGACCGCACCGCAACCGAGGGGGTCGGGCCGAGGGACAAGACCAAGGTGGTCTCCTACAGGGTGCCCCACAACGCTGCCGTCCAGGTCTACGACTACAGGGAGAAGAAGGCCAGGTGGGTCTTCCTGTCCTGATCTGGTCTGCGGAGGGGGAAGGAACTGTCTGACGTTGTGGTTCTGTGTTCAGGGTGGTGTTCGGACCAGAGATGGTGATGCTGGGACCCGACGAGCAGTTCACCGTGCTGTCGCTGTCCGGAGACAAACCGAAGAGGGCCAACGTGATCAAGGCCGTCTGCCTCCTGCTGGGACCGGACTTCTTCACCGACATCATCACCATCGAGACGGCGGACCACGCCCGCCTGCAGCTGCAGCTCTCCTACAACTGGTAACTGAGAACGGCTGTGGTCAGGGTCTGATCAATAAAGGCTGGTTAAAGAGCTCAGTTATGTTATTCATAAAACAGATTAAAGATACTGCAGGTTCAGGTGTGGAGAGACCTCTAAACATACAGAGTTCAGTCCTCTAAGTCTGATTTATTTCATTTTTTTGTACGAGTTTGGCACTGAAACTAATGTTAAACTAGTTGTTGAAGGTTAAAGGGAACTGCAGGCTAACACTAAGGTAAGCTGAGGTGGACTGGAAGCACCGGTCAGTATAACACATTACAGTTGATCCCTCTTCCTCTCCTGTTTATTTCTCTTCAGGCACTTTGATATGAAGTCTCCAGCCGACCGCGCCGAGGCAGCAGCTCTGTTCTCAGTCCCGGACTTTGTCGGAGACGCCTGTAAAGCCATCGCCTCGCGGGTCAGAGGAGCCGTCGCCTCCGTGCAGTTTGACGATTTCCACAAGGTTCGAATATTTCAGTTTTATATTGTAAAAGAAGCGTTTGTGTTACTACTGGTGGAGGAAGTATTTAATTAATCTAATACATTAAATATTACAATAATTAATCTCTTAGTCTAAAATGTGTTTCGTTTGTAGAACTCGAACCGGATCATCTGCTCGGCGGTGTTCGGCTTCGATGAGAAGCTGGCGGTTCGTCCCAGCCTTCGCTTCAGCCAGAACAACCTGGTGATCAGCAGTGTGGACATCCAGTCTGTGGAGCCCGTCGACCAGCGCACACGAGACGCCCTGCAGAAGAGCGTCCAGCTCGCCATCGAGATTACCACCAACTCCCAGGAGGCCACTGCACGGTGCGATAAAATACACACACCAGAACTTCCTGCAGGAGATCATCAAAAATATGATCAATGAAATATTCAACAAACGACTTTTTATTCATGACGCACAGGTCGTTTCCTCCTGTAAAGCACTGACTGTAATATTGCTTCCATATATTCTGCCCCACAAAACAAAGGACTATAAAATACTACTGTTACTACTATACTCGTAAAGTTAGCAGAAACTACAAAACTAAAAAAGCAAAAGAAATCTAAAAGCGTAGGCTAAGCTAAGTGGACAAAGAGATTAATCCTAAACTAAGAAGAATCAGAACATAATTTAGAAGCTAACTCAGTTATTAGTACTGTAACCATAGCGTTAGCTTTTAGCTCCTGAGCAACAACTCGAAACAACCATTTTTATCGGTGACTCGAGCTAACGAGATGCAGATCAGTTGTGGACTTTTTTGGAAACGAATTTCCCCCCCAAAAAATCCTTCAATTGTTCTTTTTACTTGTGGAATTATTTATTGTAGAAAGACAGTGACTGAATGAGGTTTTCTGTGTGCAGCCACGAGGCGGAGCGTCTGGAGCAGGAGGCTCGGGGAAAGCTGGAGAGGCAGAGGATCACCGACCAGGCCCAGGCTGAGAGAGCCAGGAAGGAGCTGCTGGAGCTGGAGGCGCTCAGGTAAAAGCGCCAGACAGCCTCACGTTTTATTACAGTGGAAGAAGGTCCTCAGTCCTCCCGCTAACAGCCTCTGTGTGTTTCAGCGCTGCGGTGGAGAGCACAGGAGCCGCCAAGGCTGAGGCTCAGTCTCGGGCGGAGGCGGCTCGTATTCAGGGAGAGGCGGCGGTCAACGAGGCCAAACTGAAGGCTGAAGCTCAGAGGATCGAGGCGGTACGTCACACATACACATAACACGCAAAGCGAAACAAAAAGACACGTTCAGGTCACTTTGTTAAACCACGACTTTGTGCGTGTGTGCAGGAGGCGGAGCTCCAGCGCCTGGCGAAGGCTCGCGAGCAGGAGCTGAGCTATAAGAAGCAGATGGACAATCTGGAGGTGGAGAAGCAGAAACATCTGGCTCATATCGAGAGCGAGCGCTTCAGTCAGCTGGTGCAGAGTCTGGGCAGCGACACGCTGAAGGAGATCGCCAGAGCCGGACCCGAGCTGCAGGTACTGTACCGACAACACTGAAATGACTTCATTTAAACTTTATATATACGAACTGGATGTTACAGTAGAGCTGTAATATCACTATCACTCTCCACCAGACTCCAGAGACAAAAACATTTAACTTCAGATCATCCTAACGTTGTAACTTCATTCAGAGTGGACAGAAACAGAATAAAACAGTTTTAAATCTCATATTTAGCCTTTTGAAGGAGTTTTGTCACGTTTTCAGACTTTAACTGTCTGTCTGTCCTCCAGGTGAAAATGCTCCAGGCTCTGGGGCTGAAGTCCACCCTCATCACAGACGGAACGTCACCCATCAACCTCTTCACCACAGCCAACGGCCTGCTGGGGGCGCTGCCGGGCCAGGGTCAGGGCCAGTGAGGAGGAAGAGGAGGAGGAAGTGTCCAAAAGTAAACTTCAACAGAAGCTCATTTTACTGACAAACAGTCACTTTAGTGTTTCTGTCGGCCGATATTAAAGCAAGATAATGTGCCTTTTGTAAGATTTAAAGATGCACTTAATGGGTTTGTTAAAGCGCCTCCAACATTTCCTCCCAGACTTCTGTAAATGGTTTAAAACACCACTATATAGCTCTGTAACAAAAGCAGGCAGTGCATCTTTAAAATTAATGTTTTTGTAACTTTGAAGTAAAAACTGGAACCAGGAACCAGACTGGAACCAGGTTTTATGACCACAGAATTTACACGACATCAATTCAAAAACTAAAAATCTACTTTGAAACTCTCCTGTTGAATCCTCAAAACTAAAGATTAACAACTGTGTGAGAAAATATCAGATTCTGTGATAAAGAGTCAAAAGCCTCTGAACATAAGAACTGAAGGAAAGAAACCGAACTACGACTCCCAGGATGCATTTCACTAACAAACATCCAATTGAAAGAGGATTTTACGACCGATTGTGGGTCAGCTTTGGATGAAATCAGTAACCATGGCGACGAGGTTTGTTCACAACTGCAACAAAATCACTGAGTCACACTTCTGATTGTGTCCTTCTCCATGGCAACAGCAACTGAGGCTCATGGGTATTGTAGTATTTAGAGCCGCCCACAAAACTGACAGAAACAAAGTTAAAATAATTCAAACTTAAAATATCGTTATTTTATTCTTTCTGTGGAGGATAAGAAAATAGTTCCTAAGCCCTGCCCCTTTTTGTTCTGTGCTCCAATAACATTTGAGCAAGCCTCAACTTCCTCCTTCCCTGTACTTAAGAAAAGATAAAATGCATATATGCTTTTTATCTTTTAACCATCTTCAAAATGTGGTTGTCTGTTTAACATAGATTAGCTTAACATATAGCATATCTAAGTACAGGAAAGGAGGAAGTTGACCGAGGCTTGCTCAAATATTATTGGAGCACAGAGCGAAAAGAGGCGGGGCTTAGTAACTTTAATGATGCTTTTGGTTTATATTTGAGTCATTTCAACTTGGAAACAAACCCCATAACTACTACAACAGTATCCATAAGTTTGAGCTGCGGTTGCTATGGAGAAGAAGCCATAACTCCCGTCGCCATGGTTACTAATTTCATCTCCAACTGATCCAGAATCAGACCGTTTCATCAGCTTCCTACACAGCGTGAACGTCGTCAGCTGAGAACAACAGAATCTGAAGCTCTGTGACGTGATGTTTGTTAGTTAAATGCATCTTGGGAGTTGGAGTTTTTAGGTTCACAGGCTTCTTCTGATATTTTCCAACACAGCTGCTGATGATCTTTTTTCTCCAACTGTGAATCACCCAACTTCATCTGTAAGAGAACATAAATACCTCCTTCCACCAAACGACACTGTGACGACGGACACATTAAAAAGCCATAATCATAATGTTTCATAAGCTCTAAATCTGTGTTTTACTCACCTCCAGTGGTTGAAGGTATTAGAGGTCAGTGAGATGGTGTTTATGAGATCTTTAACCTGCACTTTCAGCTCCTCAGAGGTTTACTTTTGGACAGGTAACCAGCATGTAACGTCCTGATTGAAAGAATTGTGCCTACGACTTCGTTTGTAAACTGACAGCCAGAGATTTCTGTTCCTGCTTTGCACTATATCCTCTAGAAATAGAAGTGAACAGTTAATACTGATGTTTACATATTAAACGTTTGTGTGCAGTGGCAATAGAATAAAACCAGGACAGTCTGACTGCCCTTCGCTGTCTTCCTAAGTGCTGTTTCTACATAAAGAAGCCATTAAAGTGCTGCTGCTGTCCACCTCTTTGTCTCTGTGGTACTTCATCAAACCCTCACAGGAGCTTTTATACTTAATACACTTTTCATTCAGTAAGTGTTTATATGGACATAGATACACTTTAGAAAATATGGAATCTGCTACAAACGCTGGTTTCTGTACCAGGTGGCTGAGAGGACAAATTCTGCTCCCTCCCTCCCAGCACAGTGTGAACGTAGCCTTAGATTAGCTTACTGACTATATTTTCCCATCCCTTCTTATTGCACTCATATTGGTCTGGTATCGGTATCTGTGTATGTGTTATTCGATATAAATGCAGTTTTTTTCCCTGGTATATAATGAAGAAAGAAAAGCTTGTGATAATATAGTGTTTTTACTGCAAGGTTTATCCAGCAGAGTGCGCTCTGATTTACAATCCTGCAGCAAGCAGCGCAGAGTAGTAGAGACGAAGTCAGCTAGAATTGGTTGACAGTAGGAAACCTTAGTATTAAAATTTCCTGTTACTGCTGCTCGTAGACACAACTTCTGAAAGAGTCCCAGCAAGATGTTCATGATTTACACCTGAAGATGCCTCCTATAATCAGTCGTAACTGAATACTTCCAATACTGTTCCAAAAGAGATAACGGTCCAAAAAACATACAGAATAGTAAACTTAAAAAAATGATGCTTGCAGCTATCACACAATTATTGTCAAATTATTGGACAAAACCTACAAAAGAAAGTTAATATTAATCATTATTGTTAGTATTATATTAATCAAATGACAGCACTGACCTATGCCCTGTATCTACAGCATTAGCCTCTGTCTTGTATTGGTCCTGTCCTCATTACGTTAGGTATTATTAATATTGTCTAAACAACTTGAAAGACAGTTAATGTCATATTGTTGGACTAAAACTCATTCAATCGAATTTTATTTGTATAGCACCAAATCACAAAATATATCTCAGGACA